ACATTTATGAAGAGAGACTTTTCCGTCATACTAGCAGTAGTTGATGTAATGATGAAATCAATTACCACACCTGCTGATGGAGGTTAGCTAAACAGTGATGTGAGAGGTTGTTAATAAAAACACAAACAACTGGGGCGTGTAGTCATCGTCTCTTTTTTTCAAATAATTGGTATAAAAATACCGAGATTTTGCTGTACAAAATTCTGTACAGCAGCAAGAAGCAGCAAAAGAAACCATGTCAGTGACAGAGACCATCATCCCAAACATCTTTACATTTGTATTAAATCAAAAAGTCAACAATTTGAACAAGAAGGTCACACATAATTATTTTGCTTATTCAGTAGTTTCGTATGAAAAACAGTGTTATTGTAACAGATATGGAAGCTGTTAAGAAAACTTTCTCTTTCAATTTCCTGAACGAATAAAGTGAAATAAAAGTTTTAACATCAGATTCCAGACTGGATACTTCCTGTTCTCGTGCCTTAGAAAAACATTAAGTTTACAAAATTATAAACTGTGACGCCTTGCCTCTTAGTCAAAAACAGCCTCTGAACAATTCCCTATTAGAAGTCTCTGCATTATTTACAGTTAAAAATTAGTGATTTAATATTTCATCTCGGACCGATTATCTCAGCATTTGTCAGTAGACAGTAGCAGAATTCCACAGAATGAGGATGATCCCTTTAGAAATTAGGTTGTGTAACTCTTGAGGCCTTAAATACTAAATGACAGTGAACACACCATAAAAGATATGTTTCTGTCATGACAGGTAAAGCACTGGCCGAGTTAGCAGTAAAACAAGGTCCCCATAAATACAGAGAGCATTGTCCAGCAGCTAAGGGATTTACAAGTTTGCATCCCGTAGATCAGTCGCTGGCCTTGCATAGAAGTTGTCCTGTCTAACATTCAATATGCAGCATTTTTACAGACCATGTGACATCAATCCTCCAAAATTAAACAAATAATGCTCTCATCAGTGAGTTTAAGGCTCTGGGCATTTACACCAACTCTAAACAGTGATAAGAAAAGCATTCACAAAGTAGAGTCTACCCTGATGTCTGTAGCTTATTAGATTTGTGAAACTGAATATGTGTTCAAGTGTGGCAGCATGGGTTCATCTCCTTATTTGTCCTTTTCGAACAGCACGACAGATTCATAGCTGTTAAATGATCACAAAGGCACAGTACACAAAGCAAGGCATTCTTTACAAAGTACAAAGTCCTAGTTAGTTAGGGTACTAGATAGTGATGAGCAGAGGCTCGTCACTAACTAGTTCCCCATTTCAACTGTGTTTGGAATGTATATTTCAAAATATAATTTAGAATTCAGTCAACACTGCGAAAAAAAAATCCCTGCAAAACAATTCCACTAAAAACTCAAACCACTTGAGAGGCCATGATAAATAAGCTAACATTTACAGAGGGAAGTCACAGCGATTGCAAAGCAAAATCTGCCATCAGCCAACAGCTGCAGGTTCATCTCGTCACTACAGCATGATGCGCTGTGGCTTGTTATCATAAGAAGAGATGGCATTCAGATTTGTTCTGTTTCTATTAAGGCAAGAAACAAATAAATATAATAGAAGAGCACTTTTAACTGCACACTAACAGTTTCTTAAGTCATAAATGTGAATAATAAATGAAATTTAAAAACACTGTTCTGTGTAATTCTATAGCAACAGCAGACACCTACACATGAAGATTGGAAACTGTGTGGCAGTTATAAAATAACAGATTGGAACAAATATCTACATCTGAGTTCAGTAGAGAACTAAAGCAGAGTTGCACAGATTCTACAGTGTTATGATTGTCTATTAAGCAGTTATAGAGCAGCCTCCATGACGTGAACTGTCAAACTTTACATCGTTCTGTAAGATCAGTGTGACATCACTGTTCAATAGTGAGACAGAAAGTGCTCTGTGCTTCCCAAAAGAACTGAGTTTACTTCAGTAGTCTGAGGTAAGTTAGTTTCAATAGTCAAACCAAATCACATGTCACCAGCTCACGTGACTTCAACAACTCTCTGGAGCCATGTTTACACCTGGCGTCAACATGTGTCTCTGGTGACTTGATCACAAGTGGACATATCGGAGGGCGGAAGTTTACCCCTGGTATCAGAACGTGTCTCCCATGTTGACACTGTTGTAAGAATGTGGTCATGCGTGATTTGATCACCCAGGAGAGATGTCAATGCCAGGTCAGAACAGAGCATTTTAAGTTCAGTTAGAACTACAGACGAGAAGTGAAACAACAAGTCCAGCTGCCTCTGTATAACATCATAGAAACACAGTCCTGTGTTTAAACAATTAATCATGATCCATCCAAACACTGATTTGTTTTAAAGTTGAGGTAGCATCAAAACAAGCAGAGCAGCACAGAACTGAGCTTGTTTCTTCTTGTCAGTCCTCTATTCCATCCTCCTCCAGAAAAGCACAGACCATCAAAAAAGGAAACTGGATGCATTTGGTATAATCCTCACATGGATAAACCTTGACCAGTTTCCTTGTTCATACTTAGGCAACAGAATGATTCTCTTTCTTCTGCAAACCGTTTTGGTCTGTGAGGTTCAGCAGAGCCACTGTCTGGTCACTGGTCCTTTCTCCATTCTGTTCTGATTCTCCAGACAAATCTGCCAAACCCTTGTCCTGCTGCGAGCTGCTGGGCTCCATATCGGGATAAATAACAAGGAAACAGGCCGTAAGGAAGCCAAGGAAGGAGCCACCAGAGGCCACTACAGGAATGACACGCACGCTGCCAACTGCCTCCACCACAGCTCCCAGGGCCGATGCAACCAAAATCTGGCTGATATAGACCTGGAAATGGAGAAAAACACAGTTTAAGACCATAATCACATAAAATACAGTGGCACTCATGCTTTTATCATTAAAATGACCATGTTATGATAGACCAAAGCCGAAACAATGCTGTTTGTGGATTTGTTCAATCAACAACAATCATGTTGTCCATTTCTAAATGTTAACTGGATATTATAGTTGAATTAGTTGAAGGTAAGACAAAACAGGAAACTTCAGTTTGGGTCTAAAAAGAGTGAACACTCACCTGGCAGGACAAGATGGCGCAGTCAATACCAAAACCTCTTCGAGTGTTCGCTGGGCTGTGGTGAATGTACTGAGGAATAAAACGTGAGAGGTGAGAAACTGTAACTTCAGCTGCAAATATAAATCTCTTTAGATGATCTGATAAGTAAGTTAAATGCTTTGAGGAGAACATACCTCTTTAATTTCGTGATACTGCCCCAGTAAGGCATAGGGACAGTAGGAGATACTCATGGAGATGATGCCCATGCTGCTGATCATGACCATTGCAACATAGACATTAGGGAAGATCGCCATTATTGCTGTTCCTATGATAAAAGGGAATAAAAGTAATTTAAATAAAGTTAACTTCCCTTTATCTGCATACCCATTGAGAATATGTGCATCTGCTCCCACATCTACTGTAACACACTCTACTGCCGAAAGCTGTTTATCTCTCTGTATTAACTGACCTATTGAAAATCCCAGAGTACCAACGATGTATACGACCTTGATGCTCAGATCAAAATTATCCAGGTACTTCTGAAGGATGGCTGTGTCGAGAGAGGTTTGAAAAATGTTACTGTATCACTCATCAGTTAGGTAAATCCTGATCGAAAAATCGAAGCAGTGTATTACCAGAGCAGACGGCAGCAGTAGCAGCGTAGACCACCAGTCCCCAGCAGCCCATCTGTACTCCTCTGTGATAATTCTGTAGCTCTGTGGAATTGGCTGGTGCCTGAAGAAAGTGGAATAATTGCAGCAATGTTATCATTCACGTGACCTCAAGTGGGATAACTGATATTGTAGTGTTTCTAGATATTATTATAAAACTATCTTTAAATGCTAATGAAGACACAAGGGTGTGTGTGTGGGTAAATGTTTACCGTGGGGTCTCCGTGGAAGATGACTTGCCCCATGAAATCAGTATAAAACACAGCTTCAGCTATATAGGAGAACCATGTGAGGAGGTGACATATGCACAATCTCCACAGCTGCCTTGGCATCTACATAAAAAAGAGGAAATTATGACATGATGATTTCCACAATGAAAATTGCTTCATTAATATGTGTAACAGTGACGCAATGGTAAAATATTTTATTTCACCTTCAACATGGACAACCACAGCAGTCGAACAGTTGTTCCCCTGTCCGGTCCTCCCTCACTGCTTGAGCCCTCAGATGACAGACTGCTGGCCGATAGCTGCAACACTCTCCTGTCTGGGTGCTGCTGGAGATCGCTCAGATCGTTCAGACTACGGGAAGTGGTGATTGGCCGATGGCTTGAAGTTGCCATCCGTCGAAGTCGATAGCGCTGCGATCCCACTCGTCCGTAGTAGGAGAAGGTAAAGGAAGGCTGGAGATAAAAAAAGACAGACATCAGCTTTTTCGCACAAAAAAAACTGTGGTGTCTAGAAAGTTAAAAAAAATAACTTAAAAAAAAAAGATAAAGGACTTCAGATTGGCTTGAGAATTAAGAAGTTAAGTTTATTCCTGCTCCCATCACACATTATTCAATATATTTTATTCAGCTTTGCGAGAACAAGTAACAAACGGTACATGAGCAAATTGTGCCCACAAGTATGGCATCTAGAACCAGTGAAATGAAAAAACTAGAACACGATGCATCCCTGTACAGTCGCAACCTGAAGCCTTCATTGCTGTTTTGGGTTTTTTCAGCTACCAACATCTCACCTCTCATTTTTTTCACATAAGACATTTTGTAAAACCGATGAAGCAAAACATGCTATGGCCTCCTGCACCCTGCTGGTCAGGCGTCTAATTCTTTTAAACTGGAAGAACGTTTTGCCCCGATCTTATGATCAGTGGATCAAAGAGGTTCTACACGATCTAAAGCTGGAGAGGCTAAGGTTTTCTCAGAGGTTCTCTAAAGAAATTTGACAAAGTTCGGAAACCTGTACCGTCCCTCATAGACTCTCTGTATAAGTACAGAGAGTCTGAACTGAAGAGTTGGATGGCTGAGCCCTGAGGCACAGTTTTCTGTATTCTTTTTCTCCCCTTTTTATTATTTTATCCTATTTAATTTTCTCTTATTTTTCCCCTCAGTGTGTGTTTTTTGTTTTTGCCCTTTTTTGTTGCATCTATCACCCAGAGATGGGGTGGGGGGTGGGATTTCAAGAGGTAGGAAAAAATAACAAAAACTTTCTCCAGTTTCTTGCTCTGTGGATACCTTGTATCATTGATCCTCAATAAAATATATATTTGAAAAAATAAATTATAAATCAAATTGTACTTGTCTGTAAAAGGTGTGTCGGTGGGGCCTTGATGAAACTGATGTGCTCAAGAGGCGGGTCCCGGGTTTACTGGAGGCGTGGCCTTTCTCTGTATTGGTGTGATCAGGAGAGGATACGCAAGTATTGATACCATTGGCAGCCTTGACCTGCTGGGATGGTAGAGAAGCAGAGAGACCACATGAGACATGTTATACATCTTAGATATCTGCAACATAGTTTTCTGTCTCTAAAGAGTTTCATATATTAAGAAAATGTGAAACAATCACATCATTTGTGTCTGTGCAGGCTTTAAATTTACTGTTGACCTAGTGTGTTTCATTACTTCTAATTAGTTCCCTGTTATCTGTTCATAAAATGTTGATTATTGAAGCAATGCTAAGATCATTTTCTTTTGAGTTGTATGAAGAATCGTTGATTGTAGTTTGTCAAGTTCAAACTTCTATCCAATACACAATATGCTGTGATAGCAAATTTCACATATAGTGCATGTTGAGTAAAGGTTTGCACACCAGATATTTTGCAGTGCAGAATTTTATCATTACTTGCTTTTTTATAACAACCTTTGGATTTGCCATTGTTTTCTTATAGCTCCTCCTTCTGTTTAGTGTGTTATTTTTGTCATGTTTCACTTCAACACTGTTGTTTCAACATGTTTGGACACAGTTATACAAATAAATGCAATAGTGATCTGTTGACCAAACTTAAGTTTACTGTTGTACTAAAAAGGCATGAAATGAAGTTAATTTTAAAAAGTAAAATTATGTCAGCAAAGTGACATCTAATAATGTGGAAGTGCAGTTAAATTGAAACAAGTATTAGATGTAGAGATAAATAAGAATATCATCGTAAATGTGTTGAACTAAGCAACAATGTGCTAAAATACAAGTTAATATATGAACTGTTATTTAGTGAATTCAAATCAATTTCACCCAAATAATTAGTGACTCTAAAATAACTTCAAATCAAATTGACCATTATAGTTAGTAAATATAAATTAGAATCACACAGATAAATGACCTGATCTAAACATGACCAAAATATGAGTACATCTAAATTAATTTCACCCAGATAATTAGTAAATCTAAATAAGTATTGCTCAGATAATTAGTAAATGTAAATATGTCTTACTTGTAAAAATGATTGTGATATACCGAATCCGACAAATGTTTTGGTTTAGATTTTGTTAAATTATTCCAGACCTTTTAATTAAATTTGTACCATTTAAAATGCACAGTTAGATTATGTGTCACTTTGTTGCCATAATTTTTTTAAGTAAGCCTTGGTCACAATTTTTACAGTGAAGGTATTTTAACACAAACATCATGTGTAACTGTAGCAGTTTCACCTGTCGGTGATATAAGCCCTCGTAGCCAGAATTGCTCTGAAGGAGAGAACAAGGACCGTTTGTTGTATCATTTAGCTCAGGGTATGTTGGTTCTAAGACCATCACATCAGTCAGGGCGGATGATCCACCAGGCGGAGACGACGTCCAAATACTGTTATCTGATGACTTGAAAGCATATTCTAGCTTTCCCTGACGCTCTGGTATAAAGTGATGCATCTCTGGCAGGAAAAGCTGCGCATCTGGGTGAAGGTCAGGATCCAGGTCAATCGCAGCCACTGGCATGGCTAAGACTGAGTCGCTTTTACTTCGCACTCTTTCCACAGTTAGGAAATCCATTTCGATTTCCTCCTGGTCTGATTCATTGTTCTCCTGGGATGTGGCTTGAGCTGAAGCATCCTCCTCTGCAATCACATCAAGGAAAGGTGGAATGTGGCAAACGGGCCTGAAAGACAACTGGCTGGTAGACTCCCCACTTCCTGTGACTCTAAGCAGGTTGGATGTAGTGAAAAGTCGCTCTGGGATACTGAGCATGTGCAGCGTGACCGAGATAATGAAGATGATGCCCGCAAACAGGAAAAGAACCTGTTCCTGTGACTTAAATGCTTGGCCCAGAGCTGTGCCAGTCCAGTCCAGACCACCCAACATGTAGCCCACTGCTCCACCGAGCCCTGGAGCAACAGGAGTAGACACAGGTACATATTTTAATTATAATGCCCAGAAACAAGGGCAAATAAAATAACAGACTAATCTCTTAGAGCTGATATTTAAACAAGTCCATGTGCCTGGCGTGTGTGTTCATACCAGCAGAGAACGCATGAATATTCAGGGCCATATCCTGCTCCTCAGTGTCAGCAACATCAAGAAGGTAAGCTCTGATTGGTCCCTCAGAGGCATCAGCACTGAAGTCCAACACCACCACACCTAATACAGTAAGGACGATGCCAATTGGCTGGTTGTTGGGGCTGTCACCAATGGAAAGGCCTGAAAAAAAACCACATAATATACAATGATGAGGTTAAAACAGTAGTCGCCAAATATATAGTGTTTGATTTCATTTGAAACCCTCTGCTCACCTATTAATGATCCATTTAAAAACAGTGCCACTCCCAGCAGCACACCCACACACAAGGCCAGAATGAATGGCCGTCTTCTACCCCATCGTAGAGTGCAACGGTCACTGGCTGAGCCGATCAAGGGTGTGAGGAGAAGACCGAGTATAGGACTGAGGAACCAGGTTAAACTGTAATATTGCTCAGGAAGACCTTAAAAAACAAAAGTATGATAAAGGGATATTAGAGGACATATGCACTTGATGCAGCAATGCTTTGACTTGTTCTATGAATCCACAAATAGGTGCAAATTCAAAAAAAATGCAATTATGTTTCAAGCAGAAATGATTTGTTCTATAACTCATCGTGAAGCTATATTTCATATATTTGTCCTGCAGAAACTAAAACAGTTTGAGTTTTTTTCCCAGTATTTCACAAAAGCATGGCACATGATAAAAGTTGCAAACCAAAGAACCAACAGACCTGGTAGAATATAGACAGAAATATCCAGCAACCAGCCAGGAAAGTGGACAAAATGACCTCCAGCTCACCCAGTCAAAAGAAATACTTATAAACAAACTGATACCAATGATGTTTGACGGTTTGATTTGGTATGTATGTAAAATGTATGTAAGACAATTCACATCAGTTATGGTTTAAAAAAAACTTTCTCTGTGAGACCAATTTTCCACCCCATATATAGACATGAGCTCTTAATTTCCATGTCGGCTGACTGGTTCTCATGGAATCAGCCTGTTACCCATGATGCCTTGCCCACTCCTGCTTTCCTTCCACTTTTAAATAAAAAAAACTGCCGATTAATTTATTGCTTAATATCCATATTTCCCATTGCTGCTCAGACTCTTATGTCAACAGACCTCCAGGAAGTTACCCTGAGGAGTTTTTGACTAGAAAATTAACACAGATAAAGCAATGTTTGTTTAAAAAAATTTCCAATAAACTTGTTTCACAAAAGATCTACAAGGCACCTTTAAGCAAAACCAGGACATATTCATTAGGTAAGTTTGTGTGTTGCAGGAAGCTGCGCAAACGTCCTGCTTGAGATCAGTGTTGTAAAACTTAAGTACTTTAAAGTGACAATGCAGGATCTGAGTTTGTGGGTACTTCACCCCAAACAAAGCTAGTCTTGAATTCAGTTCAGCATACTTCAATCTACCACCTTGTTTGTGTTTCTGTGCATCAGTACATCTTTAAGCTGCTGCAGCTTGACCCGAGCTTGATTAAATCTCTCTATAACTCAAGTATTCACTTATTTCAAGGCTTTATTGAATGGGGCTCTGTACACAAACTGGGCACTGGGTGGATATGTCTTGCAGCTTTTGAAAAAGTTGGCATATGAATAACTTGATGGTCCAACTTTGTTACCAGTACATATGATTTTGTGAACATGATGTCAAAGTGCTTCTTAGTTTGTGCTGACTTAATGTTTTGACATGTTTCACAGCCTCCAACATGCCTGAAATGGTGGATTTACTGTGCTGCCAATCAGGGCTACAGCAATCCCTTTCAGAAATATTGCATGAAGACCTTTGGACTGACTGTATCAGATAAGCAGAATGATTTCATATCTTCTAGTACTGACTCATACTGGCTGAGAACTGAGCGGATGACAGAGATGTGATTCCCTCCAAATCCTGATTTAACCTGGGTGCCATTAATCACAAGTAAGAACTTAACCATGGGAATTTATATTTCTGGCATTTCTGTCTGTTGTTATTTCTGACAATTTCTTGTGAATATTTGATATATTGCCCACAATCCAATAGAGACTGCAGTAATAAATACATGGTCAAGCTTGGCAAAAGCATGTGTGAACAAAGTGAACCTTATAAAAACACAGAGTTAATGTTTCAACTGTTCAAACTTGGTGTACTTCATTGAGGCTCGACATGTTAATGTTTCTGAAGGAGGTGTTTTCATACACTGATGAAACACTCAATGGACAGAGTGAGGAAACAAAGATCCATGGGTATGTGACAGGTTATGTGACTACTAGTAGACTAGTACAAGTGTGTACATGGTAACTAATTTACAACAATATTTTTTCTCTGAGGGTCTGACCATTGACTTGACTGACTATTATGTACAGACAACATATTATACATATTCCACAGACATTATTGGTAAAGCACTTAAGTGGATGTGTTCAAAAAAACACCCCGGATGGGGTTTGGTTGAAAGTTATTTGTACACATAATCTTTCTTAGAATAATGTGAGCAGGGAGGAAAACAGTGAGACAGAAATGTGCTGTGGTCGAAATTCTTGCAATACCTAGCCAGGGAAAAAATGCTTTTGTTCCATTTTTGCAATGGTGGCAAAACTGACATCTAACAGCATAGCCCCTGTTGGGCACACAGGTTACATGACATAGTGGTGCAGCCAGGGAGATCAATAGATTCGGTGCAGTGACAATCAAATTACACTTTGTTGTAGACTGATGAATACTATATATACACAACAAGATAGCATCACTGAAACTTTTGTTGAGAAAAGAAAGAGCAGGAGTGTGCTTGTCTTTAAATGACTGTGTTGCGTTTCCTTACCTATCTGCAGCAGCACTGGCGTCACCAGGGCTGTTTCCATGGCGTAGCAGAATTCACGTCCAAACATCACTGCCCCATGCATCACCCAGCGATGCAGAGGTATCTGCACATGTCTGCCTTCCACCTCCTGCTCACTCTCTTCTTCATCATCCTTAGGTTTTCTCTTCTCTGGAAGATCAGAACCTTCCCTTTCCTCTGCTTCACCTTCCATTATCGTCTGGTTTGACTTAAATGGAACCATTTAGTTTGCAGGATACATATATATCAGTGTATATCACTTATTGCCACTATTGTCTTTTAGATGTAAGCACAACGTTGTATTTTATAATATCCTAATAGAGCGTGCAATGTTCATAGAGGAGCCCAAGATATCCAGAAAAATTAATCAGTGAGCATCTCTGCTGGTCCACGTATTCAGGGCTTGAAGCCAATATATTACAAATAATTGAGAAGGAGGCAGTGGTCATGGTCACAATAAGCAGCTCCAAAGGTATGCAGAGGAGAGGAGCGGTGAAGAGTGGAAGAGAAGGGAGAAGAGGAATGGCAATATTTGCAGTGACCCTGTGTATGTGCAGAACAGGTCAGCAGCTGTTTTTGCCGTCGTTGCCAGTGTGTCAGAGGTCGTGCACATGCAGTATTTGGATTGTGTAAGATTAGAGTGTGGGTCAGCAGAAGTCTGTGGGTCAGGGGAAGTCTGTGCACGTGCATCCAAGTGTACTTCAGGACAAATCAGGGTCCAAGCGTGTGGAGACCCACTGAGTCACTCATCAACCTGCAGAATAACAGGCAAGTAGACGGTAAGCTAAAAAATATACAATAGCACATTGCACTGGTTTAAAATGCCCAATTTTTTAATATTTTATGAACTCTTTTTTTTTTTTTACAATCATCATTTTCACACATTACAGATACTAGTTGATAAGAGAAAGAATCAATATTCCATTTGTTGTAGTATAATATATAGCCATTACATACAAATATTTCAGTGCAGTTGGGTCCCATTAAGGGAGAGTAAAACATTTCCTGGCTTCAGAAAAGTGTTGCCCTGCTCTGGTGCAAGATTACTGGCAACAAGTTTCAACTTGTTATAAAATGTTTTCTATTAAACAGAACTAACAGAGGCTCGAGCGGTTTTTTAACATTTTGCCTTGGATCTGTAGAAGTAACATCACCTGAGACCATAAACCTTGAACTACAAAACTGGCAGACTATAAAAAAAAAGGGCATGATCAAAAGTCGCATTGAGCAATCAACCACAGGACATCATTGCTGTTGCTCAACAGTTCCAACATAGCATGCGGTGTTTCACAGTGACGTGAGCTGGTTTGGGGATAGTTAAGTCCCATTTCTCACTTGTTCTTTATCTGAACGCTTCATGTTAAGATGGGATCACGAGTGAGATAATGTTTAACAAAATAAAGGGAGCTTTAAAACCACGGATGTGAGACAGTGTCCCGCCGTCATGTTTCAACAGAGTAACCTGTCCCTGCGTGTGTTTCTGCGCTCGGTAGAAATGTCTCTAACAGGAATGTGTTTGCTTTGCTCAGCTACCTCCACCTATTCTACAGGCTCCACTTAGAAACGGAGCCTTCTCGGTCCTGTGTAGCGTGCGGAGGCTCGTGCTCATGGCGGTGGGTCCGTGTGGTTTCGTCCCGCTGAGTTTCCTCTGGACACGGTAACTTTACCTCCACTGAGATTTTGACTTGCGGGCTAATGGCTCCTTGACGAGCTACCGGCGGCGGCTAATGAATTTGACCGCAAACATTTGACTCACTCACTCAAAATGAAAGACGAGAAAGAGGTGACGTACCTGGGGTTTGACTTCCTTTAAGGTGAAGCGGAGCCACCTCCGCATTGTGGAAGTTTTCGTTGACGCCGAGGTAAAACCCTCTTGATCTGAAGTTAGCAGTCCCGGCTAACCTCCGCTAGCTAACTGAGTGACTGGTTTACTACTCTCATCACTCTCAGCGGTTTCCACAGTAACAAAGCGGGGCGTGGCCACCCAAGACACGGAGGGCGGGGAAATTACAGTAATAACAGTGTACAATTCCTTTATTACTCAATACTAGCAGCAATTATATAATGTATTATAATGATGACAGAAGTATTGATAATGTTAGTAATAATAGTAATAATGCTAGTCACAATAATAATCAAAAGAAGAAGAAGGTAAAAAATCGTCATCATTATAATGATAATCATTTTTGAAATTTTTGAATTTAAAAAGAGGAATTATATTTTTAAATAACAATAGTAAAACATTATAATAATAAATAATACACAATAATAATGATAATAACAATAATCACCTTTCAAGGTACCCAAGTCCACTTTACAAAGTTATGAAATTAGAATAAAAATGTAAAAAAGTAAAGCCTGAAAACTTTTTCTTTGCTCTTCTTTCATGACCGTTATTCTCTTTGAAACGCAGATTAATGTCGCCCTCTGCAGCACAAAAGTGGTAATCATTTTCAAAATTTCTGGCAGTGGCCAATTTAGAATGTTAATACAATGTTACAAAATGCATAAATAATCTTAAAAGTTTAGTGGATGTAAAACACAAAAAGCACCTGGGTTTCATGTTGATTGTCGCTGTGGATTAAAAATGTATTCTTGACAACGTTTAAGTGTTTCAATGAATCTGGGATTATGTTGTCATCCTGACAAAACAAGACATCTTGTTGAAGTATTGTATATTTCATTCACTGTTGAATTTGCCAGACATGTTGAACTAGTATACTTAATTTTATATTTTTCAATATGTATACATATATATTTGATCAGTTTGATCAGGCAGGAGGTTTACGACAAGACAAGAGCTGACGAAACAATCCAAGACAAAGAAAGACATAAGATAAGATATGATAAGATAAAATAAAAATAGGATGAGGTGAGATAAGATGAAACAAGATAAGAAAAACCTTTATTAGTCCCACAGAGAGGAAATTTACTGTGTTGCAGCAGCAAAGATGACAGTCAAAAAATGAACACTGGTAAGAGTAATAAATAAGTTAATATGCAAACGAAACACGGAGACATTTCAAATACAGAGTAGAAATAATATATAGAGTGTAAAAACAATATATACAGTTGACATGATTGCACATTCACAGGCAATGGAATTGCACAGACAGATATTACTATTGCACAGTTAAATCCATGTAGTCTATTGTGAGCAGTGGTGACTGTACAATCTGAAGAGTTAAGATTAACTAAGTGTACAAGTCTCTGTGTGGAGTCTGTGGAGGTCACATTAAAAAAAAACTGTTTACGATGAAGGAGGTCATGTGGACTCTTCCGCGTTGGGACCCCTCCCAGAAAACATGCACACCAATCAAAAGCAAGCATCAGAATCCCAGTAACTGTCTTGCATTAACCCTGCACCTCTGTCCCCCTGCTGAGCTGCCTCCACTGTGCACAGCAGGACATGTGATTCATATGATTTGCTCTCTGTGCTTCTTGTGAGCTGCAGCGGTCTGTCCGGGTCTAGGTGCTGCCGCTGCCGCTGCCGCCGCCGCTGCTCCTCTCCAGGCTGCCTCCTTCTATGGCTTCCGTCTACAGCGGCTCCCACACCTTGAGCAAGGATGATGTGAACTACAGGATGCATTTCCGAATGATAAACGAGCAGCAGGTCGAGGATATCACCATCGAGTTCTTCTACAGGCCGCACACCATCACGCTGCTAACATGCACGGTGCTCAGTCTGATGTATTTCGCCTTCACAAGGTAGGACGGTCACGCAGCTAGCGGCGCTAGCTCGGTGGGGGTGGGGGTTAGCATTGTTAGCTAACAGCAGCAGTGATGCTCTGTGAGTCTTCGCCGGGTTTTATCACAGAAAGCAGCTTCACACGGAGATAACTTTCTCCCTCTTGGCCTCCTTCGCTTTCTCCCGTCGTTCACCTTCAACCTAAGCTGATAAAGAAAGCTGTTTGTTTCATATAATCCCCCCCCCCCCCCCTCCTCTGCTGCTGTTAGCTCCAACCATGCAACTAGCGAGGAAACCTTATATTTAAGGCGCTCAGGAGCTTTAGAAACCACAGTGACTCCTTTTAAAATCTACTGTAATGTAGTTTGTTAGTTGCTATGTGAAACCTGAAGACACGTGAGGTACATTCACATCTCTACAGTTGTTAAGGGGACATAATAACTTCCACTTTTCTGACTTGTGTTCCCTCTTCCTGCAGAGATGATGGAAACCCTGACAGTAACCTCTGGGTGGGGCTCATCCTGGTCATCTCCTTCTTCCTTGTCATCAGTGTTTTGGCATTTCCGAACGGTTGGTAATAAACTAAAGAAAAAAGCTCTGGAGATATTGTTTTGTTTGGGCAGGTTAACTGAAGGCGATTCCTTTTAGCGAATGAAATGTTTTTGCATGAGTCAGAATGGGTATTTAAATGAGAGGAATAAAGTGAACAATTAGAATACTGATGGAATGATTTTTTTTTTGTGCAGTTCTTACACTGGGATTGTAAAACTTTTCTTCTAAAAGAAAAACTGTGATTCTAAACTATGATTCTAAACTGTGATTAATTGTGCATAAAAGAAAAGTGACATATTACAAAAAGTTGATTTCTTTGTTGGATGTGTAACGTGTGCTTATCTTGTACAATCTTTCCCATCATGTTCATGTAGGTCCATTCACCAGACCACATCCAGCGATATGGCGAATCGTTTTTGGTGAGTATTTGAGTCTCTGGGAGCAAAAGTGCTGTTGTTTTCCGACCTTAAATTCCACCACTTAATGTCATGTCCTTCTGCTGCTCAGGTCTGAGTGTCCTCTACTTCCTGTTCCTGGTTTTCATCATCTTCCTCAACTGGCAGCAAGTCAAACAGCTGATGTACTGGTTGGACCAAAACCTGCGTTATGCCAAGAGAGAAGCAGACGTAATGGTGAGTGGTTTCGGCTTTAGCAGAAAATCAGATTGATCTGCTATCAGGGGATTGTTAATCACTGTAATGAGGCTGTGTGCGCTGCTCTCTGCAGGAATATGCTGTGAACTGCCATGTCATCACCTGGGAGAGAATCCTGAGCCATTTTGACATTTTTGCATTCAGCCATTTCTGGGGTTGGGGTATGAAGGCCCTGCTGATTCGAAGCTATGGCCTGTGCTGGACCATCAGTATTACCTGGGAGCTAACTGAGGTACAGAGGCACACACCAGCTGAATGTTGACATCACTATATCTCTGTCTGCCACACCCTCCGTCTCTTTCCCCTTTAAAGAGACATTTTAAGGTCAGATAAGCTGCTGATAAGTGGTTTATCTGGTGGAATTTAATTATAGATTTCAAAATGATTTAATACAATTTTTATTGCAGGCTGATACCATTCTGTTCTCCTGTCTTCGTAGCTGTTCTTCATGCATCTGCTGCCTAACTTTGCTGAGTGCTGGTGGGACCAGGTGATTCTGGATATTCTGCTGTGTAACGGAGGGGGCATCTGGCTTGGCATGACTGTTTGTCGCTTTTTGGAGATGAGGACCTACCACTGGGCCAGTATTAAGTATGACCATGCAGTCTGGAAATTAACCACAACTGTGTTAAGAATTTTTTATTGGAAGCTATGAACAGCAGCTTTACTTTGACTTTTTTCCTCTTAATGGTGTTTTTTAACATCATTGGTAGATCCATTTTAAAATATGTAAAGTCAGAATAAGTACAACAGTTAAGATTCATAAATTGTTGTTCTGTAATATGATCCCACCTGTTCATCAGGGATGAATGGACTAAATGATTAAGGTGGTGGCATTACTTACACCTGCCTTTGTCTGCTGCACTAACATAATACTTGTTATAAATCCATCTGCATGCTTTTGAAATCTTTCTCTCGTGTTTTCATCCAGGGACATCCACACCACCACTGGCAAGATCAAACGAGCGGCATTACAGTTCACCCCTGCAAGCTGGACCTACGTACGCTGGCTTGACCCAAAGTCTTCCCTGCAGCGCGTGATGGGCGTCTATCTCTTCATGATCATCTGGCAGGTGGGTCGGTGAGAAATCCTCTTTAGCCATCTCATGGTGACTAAGTGCTGACTAGTCGGAGATCATCCGATACACTCTGTGTGCTAAGTCGTGCTAATCTAATTGGCTCTACCATTGTTGAAATCTAAAACCTCCGTCCCACATAGATCCATATAATGAATGAGTATCCTTCTGTCTACATGTTAACAGCTAATCCCATAAGAGGTAAAGACGGGCTTGATTACTAGAGGGTATTTCATGGTAATGAGAAAACCTAGGATAGAGAACTTGAGTAAGCTCCATTGCACTCAACTAGAGAGTCAGCTATGGGTGCCAACAATTCTCGCCGCTGGCTGCCATGGCAATGAAAACTGGCGTTTGTCCAATTTCTGTATGGTGATGAAACAACATTGTAATTCTCTCTCTTGCTCAGAAAGATCCCAACTCTCTTGAGCCTTTAAAGAGTAATTACCAGTAGTAGAATTAACTGAAGAGAAGGGGACGGCTCTGCTCTGCTCAGTGTGGTGACAGTGTAGCAGCTCTTCTCTAAGTTCAACCACACAGGCTTCGGGCCAAATGAGTGAATAACACAGTTGCAAGTCTTCCTCTCATTTTCTTCCATTGTGGAGAAGATGAACTTTGACAATGCGTTGCTCAAAATGAATGAACAATGTTGTTGCCAATGTGTTACATCAAGTGTTACTTGTGTTGATCTTTGTGAGTGTCCTAAGCTCAACCCAAAGTGGTTTCAACAAGATTATGTTATACAATTTATATGCTGTGTATATAACCAGTGAAAGGTTACTCAAGCCATCGTTATAAATACCATAAAACCAAACCAGTCTAACATTATTTTATTGGACATTACATACATGTGATCAAGAGAGGCCCAGATTTAATTAATAATTTTCAGTCTCTACAGTTTAACCACAGGCTGAACTAACTGACTTTTTCAATGCATCTGCCTCATTATCTGTAGTGTTTACTCACAGCACCCATTTCAACTTTAACTAACAGCAACAACATTAATGGCTGCATTCTTGAAGGTGTGCCAGTTCCAGGGCACTGCTTGGGCCATGCCCTCTTACTGGCACAGCTTGCTGGCACATGTTAATGGAACAGAGCTGTCATAAAAAGTTATTTCCACACCTGCACTTTTCTGCCTCTATGACATCATGTTGTTGTGAAAGATATTTGCAAATACATGAACACTGCAAAGCAGGTCTCAGACTACAGGAGATTTAAAAAACGTACCGATTATACATATTGGACCATTTATTGGGACACCCCTTTGTTTCTGCTGGTATTTCAGGAGGTTTAAGAACTGCTTTGTGACCCCTCACACTTTAAGATAATTAAACATCATAACCAAGGTTCCAGACCAGATTTCTGCTACGATTCTCTGGGTTAAATTGGCCAGAAATTCCTGTAGTCTGAGCCCAGCTTAAGTCACTCTGCACAACGGAATGCTATTGATTATCCAAGTTAGCCATCTGACTATATCTAACTTAGCTTTAGTTTGACGTGATGCAAGGCAAAAGTCCCTAAAACAAGATTCAGCAGTGAAAATAATGCTCATATTTAGAGTGCTGAACCTCAGCCACACAATAAAACTCACATTTAATATTATTAATTGCATAAAAGTTTGATAAAATATATGTAATATTGTCTGACTGGGTCTAAAAAGGCAAAACATTTAAGTCTAAATGACAGTAATGTCTCTTCTGTCAATTATAAACCACACAATACGTTTTTTCATAGCTTTCACACATTATCTTCTATCTGTCGTATTCTTTTATTCACAGCTAACAGAGTTGAACACATTCTTCCTCAAGCACATCTTTGTGTTTCCTGCGAGCCACGCTCTAAGCTGGTGTCGAATCTTGTTTGTCGGTATCATCACGGCTCCAACAGTGAGGTAAGAACACAATTTTTTCAGCAGGGAACTGCTCCCTATAGAAACTATTGTGACATTTTTTAAGATGTAGAACATTGATTCCTGCTTGTATCCTGTTCCTTGTTTTGACAGTTGGATAAAAGTCAGTCAGTCAAACAGCAGGGGAAATTTGTTAACGTTTGCGCTGTTTGTTTTTGCTTCAGGCAGTATTATGCGTACCTGACAGACACACAATGCAAGAGAGTTGGGACCCAGTGTTGGGTGTTTGGGTGAGTGAAACCTATTGTAAAAAAATATCAGCTTTGACTAAAGCTTTTTAAAGTAAGACCCCCACAATGAGTTGCACCCCCTGCATATTTGTGTGTGAACTGTAGTTCACCTGTGGTGTCCATACAGGTATAATTATTTAGAGCTTTTTTTCCCAGTTAATTTAAAAGTCTTCTTCAGATGAGTCAAAGGTTTCAGTTGTGCATGTTTGCTTTGTCCTCCCTTCATTTCACAGGGCTATTGCTTTCTTGGAGGCCTTGGCCTGCATTAAGTTTGGACAGGACTTGTTCTCAAAAACACAGATCCTCTATGTGATCCTCTGGCTACTTTGTTTGGTAAGATCAGAATTTCCCAGGTTTCTGTATCAGAGTGATTTCCTGTCGTCTACTGTAGCTCATCACGCTTTATGCTTTAATGCATCAAATCTTGAGCCTTATCTTTGCCACCAACACATTTTTGTTTTAAAACATTTTCTCACCAACAACTTTTAGTTACTGTCCATGGATTATTAACCAGCCTCTGTTATGGTTTATCTATTTCCAGGCCTTCATTACATTCCTGTGCCTGTATGTAATGGTGTGGTATGCAGAAAACTATGGTCCAAGACAAAAGGTATGTCTATATGTGTCTTTGACCTTGTTAAGTCTCTCATATAGGTGATTAGAAAAAGTAATTGATGGTGGGTTCTTATCAAAAGTATCTGATCTTGTCATGGATACATTATGTCCTGGAAAAAGTTTATAAGGAACTAGTTAGTCCTTGTGTTATTTAAAACTCAGCATGTGTACACACATGCACCTGTGCTCCTTTTGATGTAAATGTGAAAGCTATTTAACATGTTGTTCTCATGTCTGAATAAGCTCTGATGTTCTGTAAAAGTCCCCACAGCGATCTTACTACTGTATGTTCCACCATCTGAGTCCCATTCCCTGAAACGTTTGCTGGTGTCAGTTACCTTTTCTATGTTCCTTGTCAAGTTAATGGTGTGTGTGTCATGTGTCTGAACCTCTTCTCATCTCTCAGAGCTTCTCCGAATGCGAGGACAGTAATTACACAGAATTTGCTGACCATGTGTCAGAAGTATTTAAAGGTACAGTGTCTTTACTGGTCATTTATCAACAACATAAAGAGTCTCAGTCTGACACTGTAAATGCACAAAATTCACTTACATCTTTTTTATAAACTCAATATTATGCCATCGTCATAATTCAGGAGAGACTGAGGTGGATGAAGACACTCCTACAACCAGACGCAGAGGGACGGGCCCAGGAAAGACCAAATCCATCAACGGCCTGGACGGCCAGTAAGAGCCAGAAGGTGGCGGGTGACTCTTAAACTCACCCCGAGGAGCTAGGTGTGAGGGATCAAAGGTTGACTAGGGGGTTGAAGATATTACCACGCCCTGGTATTATTGAAGTCTAGAAACCCACACACCCCCCACCTATAGTAGAGCGAGTGGAGACGGGAGGGACTAAGTGGATGACCAGGTCCATGCAGTGTTATTAAGGGGTGCTCTGAGGGTTGGGCTACAGAGATGCACACTAAACCATGTGCTGTAGTACTTAAAGCTCCTAAATCACTGATCAAAGGTTTGTGTATTTGTGTGACGAGAGTGAGAAACAGTGAATTGTTTTTGTGTGAGAGGGGGAGAAAGAGGTGGCAATAAAAGAGACGATTCTAGATGTGACTGCATGCATCATAGTAGCTGATGAACTATAATTTACAAACATTTATCCTACAATATATCAACTACATACAGTATATCAGTGATGGTAAATGTACATTTGACTGGTTTATAAACCAGCCATCTCCAGTATGTTGGGTCAACACATTTCTATGTTAAAAGCCATTATGTGGAATTTATCACATTAATTGGAGCCTCTATGTTTCTTGCACAGAAAGGCTTAAAAGTCTTTTTTATTAGTACCTGTCACAGATTGTCTATTCACATCCTAGGTGTTCACATTTGTTTTGTGTTTTTTAACTTGAATGTGGACAGGATTTCAATGCAAGACAGCTTTAGCTTTGATCAGATCATCGACTGAGTTTTGAGTTCGACCTGGAACAAAGCGAAGCACACAGTTTAAGCACTTTTGAGAATGTTATGTTGGAGATACTGTACTGTTTGAATATTTTGTGAATCGTTGTGACCTTGAGTGATTTATACTCTCTCTCCCTGTCCATCTGTGGCTGCTATTCTTTTTTTCACTGTACTGGAAAAGGTGGGCAATTATTCAAAATTCCTGCATGTGTTGTCTGGCTCGTCCTGCTGTGTGCGGGTGCTTATGTTCTACTGTCGACCTGCTTGTCATTGAATATGTTGCATTTTCATGGCTTAGTTAAATCAAATCACTTGTTTTAGTAAGAAAATGTTAAGAATAGTCAACACATGGTTGTATCACACCACACACACACATCAGGATGCCAGTATTGTACTTCTTATGTCTTTCTCTGTACTTGTAACATTTTAATTCACCCCTTGTGCCTGTTTGCATGGTCTTTTTTATCTTAACTTTTCTGTTTCTATCAAGACTACACTTGGGCTTTTTGTTCATTCCACTGCCCTTATTATAGCATCTCAGTACAGATATATCCCTCATAATCCTTGACAATCCAGACGTTGACCTCTGTGGAATGGACCATGCTACAGTAAATGCTATAAATGGTACATTGTCTCTGGATTTCAAATGTCATTTGCCAAAAAAACAAATCCGCTGAAAATGACTTGTGCTGTTCTTTTTCACTGTGAAATAATGAAACATATTAAAATATTTTACATCTCCTCTTAAACTTTTCCAAAGTTACTGTTAAAAGGATCATACCTAATTTTTATTTCTATTATTTTTTGGGATTGTCCACCTGCCTGTCCCCTTGTGAACACAATATCTCTAGACCACCTGTTTTCTTCAAATTTGGTATTAATTGTTCAGTTGTTCAGGATGAACTCATTATAATTAGGAAAAGGTGGTGACCTCATGTTGTTGTGAATGTGATATGTCAAGAACACCCATAAGCACCTTCATTACATCTGACACAAACATTTACTTGGACTCAAGGATGACCTGATTAGAATTTGGGGGTCAAGGTCACTGTGACTCACAAAACCTTATTTTGCCTCGTAAAGCGTTATCTAAAGAACGCCTCAAAAAGAATTCCTTAAAATGTATCACAAATGTTCACTTACACTCACGGGTTAACTGATTCGATTTGGGTGGTCAAAGGTCAAGGTCATAGTTGGCCTCTTGAACATGACATCTCAATACTGCCCTATAAGAATTTCAACTTTGCTGGTCACCAGAGGAATACAACTGCAGGGAGGTCATTCTAATCTGGTGTTCACACCTCACTCTCAACATTAAAGGTTTTTATTATTCATTTAACAAGTTATTCACTGTCTATCACATCCACACAAGTAGGAGCCACTCTGTGCACTAAACAATAGGAAATCATGAATGACCTTGCTTGACCCTTGACTAGCACCCTGCTGCAGTGGAGCAGTGCCAGATTGGCTGACTCAAACGCTGCCCGGCTCGGATCAGATTTCACTACGTCTGCACACCGTGAAACTCAGAGACTGAAATAGCCTCCGCCTGCTGACCTACAACAACCTGTATTTCAAGATACACTTGATGTTCCCATTAGAAAAAAGTCAGATAGTGCAAAACGTGAAGAGTAGCAGCAGAGATACAGCTAAAAACTCTGTCTCCTAGAAGAAAATCCTTGAAATATCCTCATGTATCGCCTCACAGTGAGTATTACGGCACACCCTGGCACTCTGTAACACCTGTTGGAGATACTGCCTTTGAATCCAACCACATATCTTTCTATTTTAATACTTCATATGCATTTTAAAAAAGGAATGCTGTCTGCTGAATGTGCTCTATGAAGGCTGTCCTTTCCAAAAACATAGGATCTGTAACCACTCAACCTCTCCAGCTTGTCTGGTGTCTAATTTGATTTCCAAAGGAGGGCAGCAGAGAGCCTCAGTGCTGTGCAAAATGTCACGTGACTTTCTGGGCCTAAAGCACAGGACATGAGTGTGTGTGCTTTATTCCCTCTCTGTTCATCATTCGCTCCATTTCTCTCAAATTATCAGTCTTCTTTTTTTTGTCTTTTGGTTTCCTAAACCTCTGGCTGCCTGCATCGGCTGATTGATCGCTCTGTGACCTTCAAGGTATTTCAGTCATGGCTCTGAATCCTGGTCCCGGACGTTGTGGCAGCCTGAGTCCTGAGGGCATACTGAGAGAGGTTCAGATCAATTTGCTGGAGTGTAAAGTCTGCTTCGAGAAGTTCTGCACTCAGCAGAGAGAACGCAGACCACAGAACCTTTCCTGTGGCCATGTACTGTGTCTGGAATGCATCAGAGCTCTGTCCCACCCTCTCCTGAGGAAGCTGGAGTGCCCGTTCTGTCGACAGCTGTGCAGTGTTGACAGCACGTCCCACTGCCAGGTTCTTTGTGACCTCCAGGAGCTGCTGTTGTCCTGGAGTACCACATCCTCTGGTCCTCCTCACAGAGCGATAGGGGGATTTAGGCCGGCTGCAGGACTGACATCCTCAGCCCTGTACCTCTACGCAGCTTTTGGCGGCTGGGGGACTCTCATCAACCCCACTGGGATAGCTGTTTTAGGGTCGTCAGGGACAATAGTGGTGGTCCACGATGGAGAGAAGAGGGTGGTGGTGTTTAGTCGACAGGGCACACGGCTGAATAGTTTTGGGCGAAGAGGACAAGCCAGTGGAGAGCTCTGTCACCCAGTGGATGTGGCCGTGACTCCCTGTGGTTACGTGGTGGTGACTGACGCAGGAGATAAAGCTGTGAAGATTTTCACCTCCAGAGGGAACCACGTGTTGACGGTCAGGGATTCCTTCCAGGTGCCCTGGGGTGTGGCCACAGGCGGTGGTGGACACCTCCTGGTCACAGACATCCAGGTGGGCGCACTGTTCCATTTCAAAATGGACTACACTCGTGGTGTTATTCTGGAGCATCGTACGGCCATTTCTGACCTCCAGCAGCCAAAAGCAGTGGCCTGCTGTCCAGTGACAGGGAACACTGCGGTGATGGAGCATGTAACCGACAACACACGTCCACCAGAGCGGCATCAACACACGAGGCTGAAAGTGTTTAGCAAAGACTTCCACCTGCTTCATCAGACAGACAGTTTCAGCCTGACTCTGCAGTCCGCAGTCAGGCTGAACATGTCCGGTGTGGTGTTTGATGCAGATGGAAATGTGCTTATAACTGACTGTAAACAGGGGATGGTTTGGAGTTTGGGGAAGCTGCAGAATGGCCTGGTCCTCACTCCTCTCGTGGGGAACCACCTGATCCGCCCAGTCAGCCTGGTTGCACTGGACAACATGCTCATCGTTCTGGACAGTGGAGACCATGCAGTCAAGATTTATTCTGCCAAATCTGACACTGGATCCACCACAATGTGTAAACAGGCCAAGAGTATGTGAAATGTAGCGTAACATATTATTATATTATTAAGTGATGAGGTTGACCTGGCAATAGCATTGCTAAATAAAGGCAAAGTTTTACATTAAAATAGACCTTTGTGTTGAAAATGAAAAATGTGAATATACTGGGTACTATAGCCTGTGTTGAAGTAATGTTTGTGTCATGTTGTTATTGCTCCAGCCTTCGAAACTGCACAATGTATCCCCACATTATTATATTTCTATAGAATCCTGTGGTTTTCTTGTCAGACACATACTTTCACCTTTCTTCCAGTCAAACAATCTAAAGAAAACAGACATGTATGTCCTCAAGGCCACAAAGCTGTGATGAAGGGTAGAAAAATATCATGCAATCTCATATAAAGAATATAGAGAATAAAGGGAAACAAAATAAAGAAATAAAGGGAACTGCTACTATAGGTGCTGCAGAGAGAGAAATGATATCATCTTTACAGATTCTTTTAACTTGAGTTTGTCCATAAACCTCTCTCTCGCTCTCTCTCTCTATTAATGCACCATGAACCATGTGGAGAGGTTTGAGAGCGTGAACTGGAGAGTGTTGTGCTCTGTGAAAGATGGAGAACTGGTTTATGGAAGAGAAATCATGTGAATGTGTTTTGGTGTTTGTGTGTTAATGAGAAACAAAAAGGATCAAATAAAGAGGGTTGAAAAAAAATCAAATCTCTCTCCCTCTGTCTCTCTCTCTCCCTCTTCTCTCTCTCTGTCTCTCTCCTCTCTCTCTCTCCCTCTGTCTCTCTCCTCTCTCTCTCTCCCCTCTCTCTCTCTCTCCCTCCCTCGGTCAGAGCAGCAGCAGCAGCAGCAACAGTCGAGCTCCCAGCGGAGGAAGATGGCGGTGGAGATGCTGCCTGAGCCTGGAGCAGGATACTGGATCTGTACGAGAGGCAAACCAGGGCTGGATATAACGGAAGAAAAATGAACATGTTCCGGTGTCTCATCCCCGGGCTCTGGACTCTTTTCGGGGCCGTTTGAGTAGAGTCTGCTGCCCTGGTTTTCCGGCACAAACCCGGGTTTCTCGTCGGGGGGATTCACGGACTAGACTGTCGGCGGCTCGCAGACAGACAGGCAGGGTGGGAGTGAAGAAAGTGGACGAAAATGTCGGATACCAAGGTAAAAGTTGCAGTGAGAGTCCGGCCCATGAACCGCAGGGGTGAGTGTTTACACGACGCTTCTTCCACCATCAAAACTTTTCATTTCTTTCGCCGTTAGCTGCTTCGAGCCTGGAGTCAATGTGTGGTTTGAGGAGCAGAGATTTGTCTTTTTCACACCCCCGCGCTCTGCTTTTACTTTCCCAACAAACTTCTCTCTGCAGAAATTGAACTGAACACAAAATGTGTCGTGGACATGGAGGACAACCAAACTGTTCTTCACCCACCACCCTCAAATGTAAAAGGAGAGAACAGGTAAACGAAGCTGAAACTCTGCCTGCAGCCTAGAAATGCTAGCATGTCAGAAACACTGTTTTAATGAGAGCTCTGCAGCCAAGTCATCTTGAGCTCTGGGTGTCTGTAAGTGAAATGTCAGAACAAAGCAGATTGCACTCTCATAACCTTATTATCCCACCCTGGTTGTTATACACTTACAATAACATGCAATGATAACATATGTCTGTTTATTCACTTACCTCCTGGTGAATGTACACAGCTACACTGGGTAAACCAATGGGCGATTATTATATCAATATGTCACGATATCAATAATTATCACGATATGTGTCGCATCATTATATTAGTTTCTTTCAAGACTCATTTTCCTGAGTGAGGGTTTCAAACTCTTCTTTATGAGCACAGAATGACAGACACCTTGAGGTAGATCAGTTGTGTTTTACATCTCTCTGTGCTTTCACAATGCTTCAGCAGTATATCGATATATACATATTGGACTTTTGTGATATTGCTATTGATGAAAATCATATTGCAATAATAATTGATATGGTTTTATTGCACAGCCTTAGCTCAAATGACTGAAAACACATGATCCTAACACAACGACCACCTATAGGGATGGGCGATATGGCTAAATATGATATCAAGATCAATATTTTCACCTCAGTCCTTATTAATAATATTCATGACAAATGTCACATTAGTTTTTCAAATAGTTTGAATACTGATCTTTGCTCCATAGTGAAGGTTTAAACTTTTCTTTATGGGCAGAGAATGACACTTCTTCACACACAACACTTGCAAAACAGACAATGACATGGATATATATTGGACTTTTTCTATGTTGCAATTGATGACAAGTATATTGTGATAATAGTTGATATTGTTTTATTGCTCAGGCCTATATAAGTACACCGTCACTTGAATTCCAACTGAACACTTTCTCCTGTAAAGAAATGCAGTTTACACAAAGGAACAGGACGTGGTATCTGTTGCTCACCTGCCTGCCACATGATATTCTGTTATGTAATTCATGTGAACTTTCCAACACTAATCACCTCAGCATAAAAGTAATAAAAACAGCGCTCTGCATATTTTGAGTATCAGATGTTGAGTTCCAACAGGCGGCTGAGCATGCTCGACACATGAAGACGCCTCCTAGACAGGGCAGATTAATGTGGAGCCTCAGGGTATTTACCGTAAATCTCTCGCAGTCAGAACTCATTTGAATAATGTGGCGTTCCAAGTGGAGTAAGACCACACAAGGGCTGATTTAAAAATGGAAAGGATGCTGGTCACTTCATTGTGCCACAAAAAGAGTTGGAGAAAATGCATCCTCTCAATGTTTTTACTGTCTGGCTGCAGTCTCTGCTGGTCTGTGATCTGACATGCTTTCCGACTGCAACAGAGGGGATGTCTGGAGTCGCACAACATGTAGGCTAATGATGGCTGCATGTTTGTGAAGTCATTCAAAATGCCAAGCCTGTTAACAACTGTCAGAGATCAGTTATGTTTCCCCCATCGATCGTAGTTGAGGCAGTTTTCTACATTTTCACGCTTGGTTTGTTTGCTCTCCTCTGCTGTTGGTATCACACATGATTAGACAACTGACCTCATTATCCACAAGCGCAAATAAATGTTAAAGAATGCTCATTTAGGGGAAAACCCCAAATCCACTTTTTTTTCGTTTATCAGTTAAAATGTCTGATAATTTCAAATGAACAAACAACTCCTCAGGCTGCAGTACAAGTCCCCATTGTGTCTGCTGAATATGAAGTCACAGGAGGTAAATGGAGCATACATGCTACCGTCAAGGCTTTTTCCCATGCCCCGATCCAGACTTGTTCAAGAGTAACACTTTCTCTGCTGTTTCAGCATTAAATGGTATCGAGCTCGCTCCCCCGGCCGCGCGTTAACCTGTATTTAGGGTTATTATCGGAACAGAAATTGCCACACAATGGAGCCATTCCTGGCAATTAAAGAAGTTGCGCTTAAAGCTAACATATGTGGAACAGGCTAGAGGACAACACAACAAAACACTGCTGTGGGTGAGAGGAACAACAACGCGGCCATGTTGTTGAGTGAGACACAAACATTTTTATCATTTTTATATAGCAGAAGTTTTCTGTATCAGATGTAGATATCATGGTTGCTGTGCAGACGTTTCTTGTTCTGGACTAAAATGTCTTTTCTTGGATTCACCTTTGCTGTAACAGTGTCTGTCCAGGGTCAGTTTTTATTCTGCCAAAAATATTTAAAACATTTCAGCAATTTGTAGTTCTAAAGGTACATCCAGTAACTATGCAATGACCTTATTTTTACTATGTCAGATTTCTTTTCTATACTGTAGTCCAGGCACATAATTACTTGTTAACATTTCAGTGCTGTGTGTGTTTTGGGTCTCTGTGTTTAGGCTGCCATGGTTTTCTTAAACCATATAATTTTCCTCTCTGCTGCTTGCGGAGCCACATGAGGGGATACCCTGAAAGACTTTGCCTTATTTTGAAGACACCTGTTCCTGTGTTGGAAATGTGTCAGATTTAGTGGGTATTAACGTGCCAAATATGGCTGCGGGGGCCGAGATCATGGGAACCGTTTGCTTCGCTCTCATGAGAATGCTCAGGCACAACCTCAGAAAGGGAACAGTAATAAATGTTTTTGTGTAGACTGAAATCCGGTTCATTTCTCAGGCTGTAGATTTTAAAATACAGGACAGTTCAGATATTAGCAAACGTCTTTTTAACCCTGATAGTTTACCTCAATGAAACAAAATACTTAATATGCCTTTAGTTGGGTCATATACAGAAATTAGGTCTCTAGAGAGGGGAATTAAAACAGTACCTTATTGGATTATAAATCATTAATTAATTGCCTAAATTTGCTTTGGGATCAATAAAGTATCTGTGGATCTATCTAGGAACTTTCTAGCTTGCTGTGTTTTGTTCAGGTCTCGCTCAGACCACACAGCACAAAAACATGTAAGTCACGTAAAGAATTTGAAGAAATATAATGGATTTCCTTGGCTAAGCCTCATTCTTTGCACCACCGAGCATTATAGCGAAACTCGTGACTCCCCACCATCACCCCACCTCTCCCATTCTCCTATTTTCCCTGAAAAATGAACGATAATCTCGACGGTGGGCAAACTGAAACATGGATTTTGACTCCAGGGCGACAGGTTTAAGTTTCCCAAGTTTCATCTTTCATCCCCCTATTAAGCTGGCACGAATGGCATATTTGAAATGGGAATCTGGGAAAGTGGTTTTGTTTTCACGCGCCAGTCTGCTCTCCTCTGGGGTTTAGACACAATGAAGGTGGGGGTGGAGAGGCAGGAGAAATACCTGAGGCTGCTGTCTGAACAGGGTATGAGCCTTTGAGCATCGTGACAAGAAAATACCCTGCATCTCACACAATGGGGCCATGTTACATCTGTCATGCCCCAGCCTGTCCCTCAACGTGTAACATTTGAATAGAGGGCCATCGAGTCTTGCCAAATCTTACTTATGCAAACTATCTATATTTCAATCTAGAGTCATTTGCAAAGTACAAAGCTATTAACAATTGCTTTGTAGAGTGATACACTGGAGTCAAGTTTGTGCCCAAGGAGGGTGCTTATCTTTCCTCTTCCTTTCATTGCAACGAAGTAGGAACTAAATATTTGTGTTTGTGCAGATGAAAATATCACTTCAATCCCCCCCCATGCTTCTGTAGCTCTGCAGTCCAGCGTTTCAGGACGATCAGTGGAAGCATGCCTCTGTGTAATGCTGTCCGTAACCAAGCTTGTAATTTTCACTCTAATCTTGTTCTTATCACTAATTGCTACAGAAGCTCAATTGGGTTTATCTCCAATGGACTGTGTTATCTGAACGCTGAGGAGCTTCCTCCACCAGGAGCCTGCTCCATGCACTCCACTTCCCATTTTGGAACAACTTTATGGAAATGTTTTTTTTGGAACTTCTCACAAACTAAATGGTCAAATAGAATAGCACTAAGTAGAGCGCGTACCTAGGCCAAGGCCCAACAGTGGCCTAAATTCAATGAAGTGGCATCAAAATGCACACACTTACAGAAGATAGACTTGAAATATTAAAGAAAGAAAGAAAAATTCTTGAATCCACCCCCTGGGATCCGCATCATAATTGAATGGGTTCTTCCCTGACACATATAACACGATCCTTACACTAAGTTTTGTAAATCCGTGCAGTAGTTTTTACGCAACCTTTCTTACAACCAAGCAAATCAACAAACAAACGGACAGGATTGAGAATATTGCCTCCCTGGCGGACTTCTGGTGTTTTAAGTATTTGTTCAGCATTTTGGGAAATGCATGTTGGCTTTTTGTTCTGGAATTAGATGGGGAGATTGATATCTTTGGCACATCTAGCTAAGAGTAGCAACAGATTTGCCCAGTGCAGCACAGAGACTGGCAGCAGAGGAAATACTGTGGCTCACTCTGGTTCAGTTGTAGCAAAATTCACATACTGGCGCCTCAAACACTCACTAACTTACACTTTTTATCTCAGTTGTTTAATCTGTACAAAAGCTGAAGCGTAATAACTGCAATTTGCAGTTTTACGAGCGGTTGTGTGCCAGACTCTTTCTTGGCTGTAACTTTCTGGAGTCTCCGCTGGTTACCTGGCAACCCTGCCAAAAAATAGTTGGGCACATAACCCCTCGTAAAACAGTCAGGTTTTCAACTATATTTTCTGTTAAAACAAACACAATATGATGCGTTTATTTAGTTTAAGGGGATTTTATCTTACCAGGTTAGCTGTTTCCCTGTTTGGCTTCATATTTACTGAATAGATGAGTCAATCTTCTCATATAAGAGAATAAGCATATTTCCCCCAAAAACCAACCTACTCTGATTCATTTGGTGGCATTTGTCACTACAGTCTTCCTCTGGTGACTGCCAGAGACAACCTAATGTAGCTGACATATGTTTAGCCAAAGCCTGTAATGCTTTCTGTTTGTTTTATCACACTTTGGATAAAGAGGTGTAAAAAACACAAACTTTT